ACACTCAGGATTATTGGTGAACCAGTCAAATCACTCTGAATGGGTGAGGAGGACAAGGATATAGGTTATGTTTTTAGACATATGCCGACTATGGCCATGAAGCTAGATATCATAAAAATGTGCCCTATGCTTACTCTTTCCTCCCTTGAGTTTCATTTAGGCTAAAGGTACAGACAGTGAGTTGGACAGATGTTAACTCATCACACGGATGTGCACCCACAGCACAACACCCTGATCAAAACCCCTGATATTTATGTTCCCTAAGAATGCTCCCCTGCCCACGGCAGGCCCATCTCTGTCTCCTGGCAGCAGGAAACCACTGTTCCCACTTCTCGTTTCATTTCTCCTGAGAGTTAATATAGATGGAATCACACAGCATGCACTTTTGTGTCTGTCTACCTTTTGACAACATGATATTGCTGAGGTTCTTATGCTGCTGCCTGTACCACTTGTTCATTCCATTCTATTACTAAGCAGCATCCCTTCTCTTGAAAGAATCACAGATCCCGTATCATTTCTACCACTAGCGGACATTCTTGATTTCACTTGAGAAAACAGTTAGGCTGGAAACTCTTCTGAATTGCTGGTGAGAATGGAAACTAGTACAACCGCTATGGAAATCAGTAAGTAGATTTCTCCAAAAACAAAAACTAGTAGTTTCATTGGATCCAGCTGTGTCCCTTCCAGTTATCTTCCCAGAAGAGTTACAGCTATCGTATTACATTGATACAGTCACACAGCAGCAAAATTCGTAACAACTAACTCTGGGAAGTGGCCCATATGTCCTTCAACAGACAAATGGATAAAGAAAATGTGCTATTCATACACAATAAAGAACTACTCTGCCAAATAGGATAAATCACTATGTACTGCAAAGTACTTATTTTACAAAAGAAAGAAAAAAATACCTAACAATCCAACTGCTGTGCCATATTAGTTATATGACTATCTATTCATTATGTGATTCACCTACAATCACAATAACAACTATTAATGCTAATAAAATAGACCATAAAAAGAGCATTTAGCCGGGTGTGGCAGCACACACCTGTAATCCCAGCACTTGGGAGGCTGAAGCAGGAGGATCACTGTGAGTTCAAGAACAGCCTGGGCTACATAGTGAGTTCCAGGTCAGTCTCAACTACATAATGTGACCCTGTCTCAAAAAAACAAAACAACAATAACAAAAAGAGCATGCTTGATATTACTTCCAACAAAAATGCATAACCTAATTTTCATTTTTCCTATATTAAAATTACCTGCCACTTTTCAGGAATACAATCAGATGTTTTAATATATAAATATTCAATAAATGTCATCATTACAGATGGTAAATGTACTCGTGAAAGTAAAATAAATATATAATATATAAATATTTCTGCTTATGATACATAGACACACATGTATATGGATTCATTTTTTATCTAATTTCCTACAACCTGAGCGTTATCCTAAGCCCCAAGTTACGAACCACAAATTTTCTACCCGCTGGGTTTTCCACAAGAGCACAATTATAATAACTTAGCTCTAAAATGTATAAGAATTGAACAAAAGAGTTTATGATGGAAACTTTATAAATCATTTACTTGGAAAAGGAAGGTTAAGTGTTTATGTTTGGAATCTGAGCTACTTCGTCGAGCTTTGTGATAGCAGAAAAGATTGGCATTTGTTAGCATCCCTTAAATGTCTAAATTTCTGTATTTCTAAGTTTCTATAGCTTAGTTCTTAACATAGGAGACTGTATAGTGTACTTTTCATTTTATTTATTTATTTATTCTTGGTACCGGGTGTCGAACTTGGGCTTCTGTGCTTGTGAGGCAGGCAGCAGAACCACTGAGCCAAGTCCCTGGCCCCTATAGTGTACATTTTAATACCATGTATCAGAAAGTCTCACAATTTCACATATTTGTAGTCTGCCAAAAATATTCACCTGTGTGGATTTATGTATCCTTCATGTATTCAGCATGAATAAGACAGTTAAGCTGAGTTACATACTTTGTAACTGTTTTCTATATATCTAGAGTGAATGACCTTCTTTAAGCTTTTTTAGTTATATACCAATTTGCATCAGAAAGATTATTCCATACACATACGCAGAACTACCATAATACTCCACGTGAATTAACTTAGATTAGGGTAGGCATTTCATTATGTGTTGCTTTTACATCCCTCTACTTTTCTACTCATCTAAATTGGTGTGCTAGTTTAAAACATTAAACATTTAAAATAAGAATTATAATTTAGAAACAACAGGTAAGTGACATAAATTTCCCTACATCTATTCGTATATTCAAAGTCTTAAAATATCAAATAGGATGAGATGTTATGTTTAGTGCCTTTCATAGGATACAATGCTCCATTTCTACTTTCAAAACAGAAAAGTGGATGTTTTCGTATATTTTGTTACTTTATTTCATACTTACACAACATTTTACTAATCAAAGTGCCACAAAACATAATCTAAGTGATTTGGAGGCCTAGAAAAGCCAGTCACCAATGTACCATCTGGGCTATGGTGGGTGCAGAACCGGTTCCACACCAAGGACTCCTCCCTGAGTGACGTGGCGGACATTTACTGCCAGTTCGCTAGCAGATGGGTTTATCATTCTCACACTGAAGCTTACACAAAGGGACTATTTTCCTGTGTAAAACTAATAACATTTTGCATCCCCCCATCAAATAAAAAAGATGATCAAGGTCATGTTTCAAACAAGCAGAACTAATACAAAGGCCTTACTTTAGCTTTGTAAGGCTGAAAGTGACTGCAGTCTCTATCGAACATCTTTTGTAGATAAGGAAATAAAAATCTGGAACAATTCAATACAATCTCTAGGTTCACTATATTCAGCAAGGTTAGAAGAGTTAAGAGGGTTAGAATCAAGGTTGGAATTAAGCGCTAGGACTCTTGAACTCAGAGTTGTTATCCTACACTAAATGAAAATAGTTTGACATCTATTTAAACGAGTTAGTTTGTTGCTTCACTGCAGAGCCAGAATTTATTGTGCTTTATTATATATTTTTTTAATACTTTCACTAAAGAATGAGTAGGTTTTTTTTTTTAAGTTACAGTTGTTCTCTGATAGACTCATATATACATAAGGATTGGTCTTATCTGGTTGATTGCTACATGATATCATCATAAAGAATATTTTTTCTGTTTCTCGAAAATATTCCTAAAAGAAAAAAAATTGATATTTTTCAATATTTCTTCAACATGAAAAAAATGATTTAAGAGACTATGTTAAGGTGATTTATGTGGCATTATTGATAAAATTAGAACTGCTTTTTAAAAAATAAGGGGAACATGCATATTACTGAAAATTGTGTATATCAATGCCAAAGTCTAAGAAAAATACACAAATTCACTTTCTTGGCAATTGCAAAGATAAGGAAGGTGATAGAAAAAGCAGATTAGAAATCATGGAGTATATTCTTTCATTCGTAACTGAAAACTGTCAATAGAAAAGCTTTAAGAAACTAATAAAATCTGCAAAACAGGAAACTAGAAAAATAAGCAATAATTTGAGTGCAACTCATTCAGACCAGCATTTTCAAGAAAGTCTTTGTTGACACAAGACTGCTTTTTATTTCAATGTCACATTACATCCTGGGGCATAAAACCAGCTGCAGACTACAAAGCCATTTATGATTCCCTAAAAAACATTATATGGTACTAGAGCCAAATATCAATGAAAATTCTTATTTTAATGAAAATTAAAACGTGCATCGAGAATCATATTTTAAATGATTTACTTTGACAGAGAAAAAAAGAAAATGGACTTAATATTTAGTTCATAAGATAGGTTCTATACTATACAATATATTTCAGTATCTTTAGGGGAAATTAGTATAATAAGAAGAGAATCTCATTTCCTTTGCCTGCTAAGCCAAAATGATGATATCCTGATATCTGAAAAATCTATAAATTACAAAAGCGGCAATAATTAGATTAATATACAGTATGAAGCATGTCTAGCAAAATGAGACATTCTATAGGTATGGTTTACATAACCATGTTCTCTAATCATTATCCCAACACACTTCACCCTTATGACTATCCTCAACACTAACTGTACCTTTCTGGACAATATGATGAAATACTAAGTCCTGATAGCTATGTCCCAAAAACTAAATTAAACTTACCATGGTTTTGGTTTTAGGTCTTTACTCGTATTCTAGAAATTTACAATTCTAAACTAATTTAATCCATTTCCTCATTCTGAGGCAGACAGAACTAAAAGGAAGGCTGACACCCTGGTGTTCAGGAAATATTATTTCTTCCATCGCACCACGGAAACGCATTGCTCAAAGCTAAGAGCCTGTCTTCCAGTTTCAGAGCTCCATAGGTTTGCTGAAATATTTCGAGTAAATTCCAAAAGATAAAGCAAATTCCTTGGTCTACAGATTTTTCTTTGGTTCATTTAACGCTCTTTATGTACACCATTTATATTTTCCCAACTTGTGTGTTAAATTCCAATTTATTAAATATATACTTTTATTAAGGACTAAATATGTTCAAGGCAGTTAACCACCTCAGGTCTATGATCAACCTTCAGACACACACATCCTGAAAAGAACTGCATTGTCTTCCTTCCAATGTATATTTCCTGAAAACATTCTGACGAGTTTCTTTAAAATACTTTCCAAAAAACTTCAGCAGAGTTTGACGGCTCCTGTTATGCTCCAGTTCAGTTTTCAAAATTATATTAAATAACAAAATGTCATTTTTTTTCTATTTTGAAGGAGTGCAGATAAATTTTCTGTAGCATTTGTACATAACATAAGGGCAACATTAGGTGTCAGCCATAAATTTAAAAAAGGAAGCGCTAGTCATGAATCCGCAGTCAATGAAGTTAAGCACACAGGGAGCCCGGTAGAGGGAGCTTTGTGCACATGCGCGTAGGTAACACAGCCCACAAGACCCTGGATGGCATGGCGGGCAGTTTCATTTGTTTTTTATTGAACAGAACTCTTTAGCTCAGCTGCCACCTGGGCCTTACCTGCAGCCATAACTTGTTGTGCACCGCATCCCTCCCCGTGGCAATGCACTGAAATGTGGCGTTCTGCCCTGCGTTGACCTCTACATCCCCTAGGCGAAGGAAATGAGGGGATTTGTCTGTGAAAGAAAAAAAAAATTGAGGTTATTTTTTTGTGTTTTTTTTTTTTCCCACTTGAAGAGAATGCGTCTCGTTACTTTTCCCAAACCAAATCATTTGAATGTTTCTTCAGTTGGCCAACACTAACACAATAGGGAAAACAGAATTTTCTGTTTTAGTAGCTACCATTTGCTTCCTCACTCTGTTTTTTTCTCACTAGCTGTATTACACAGTGGCCCACAACGCTGAAGCGCTGTGAAGGAACCCTGGGGTCGCTATGACAGCCTGTCACAGCAGGCTCCATACAAGAGCTAAGAACGGTTTTACGTCAGAGTAAGTAAGAGGCATTAAGGAAGCCACATCAGAGGACAGTGCCAAAATGTAAGGAAGACTCATAACGCTTCTAAAACAGAGTTCCATGGTGATTGACTGTTCACCTACAATTTAATCAGATGATCTCTTTTATTTTATAAACTTCAGTCGTTATAAATTCTCTTGTACTGCAAGGACAAAAGCAATATTTTTTGTTTCCCCACAACAGTACCTCGACCTAACTGTTATATCCGCTCTCTATTTCTTTATTGCTGTAGGGAAGTTACCCAAAAGAAATACTGGAAAACAGAAAGTGATGACTGTAGTCAAAATACATGAGTCATACAGAAACTCTACAATTTCCTTCTAAAACTGAAGCCCCATCCCTGTTTTCCACTGGGGAAAATATAAACACCAAAAGCCAAGGCTCAGAGAATAAAGCTCTCAGTGAACCATTCTGATCCATAGTTTTCTATTTACTCAAAAGTCTTACTTTATCGTCTATCATTTAAGAAGTAAATGTGAAAGGTAGATGAAAGCACAGTTAGTTACCTTATAATATGGACTCAAAGAATATCATAAGCCAACTTGAACTTGAATATACCTACCACATGGGACCCTTTCTCTTTCTCAAGACCTCAATAGGAGCTCAAGGAAAATAAATGTTTGAGCTAGAACACAAGCTGAGAAAATGGTTCCTGGCCTGGGCAATGTAGTGACTTAGTGAGACCAGGTCTCAAAATAAAAAGAACATGGGCTGGGGATGTAGCTCAGTTCACAGGTCCTGAGTTCAATGCCCAGTGCAAAAACAAAACAAAACACCCTCTAGACCAGCAGCATCATTACCATTTAGGAATTGATTAAAAAGGTAAATTTCCCGGCCCCACTACAGGCTCAATGAATCAAAATGAGGGCAGGAGCCAAACCGTGTGTGATCGCCCAGGAAAGGATTCTGATGCTCACCCGAGCATGCCAACCACCAAGCATGGGCAGGAGCCCAGGCTCAACCCCTACGTTGGCCCTGGACATCCTTACAATGTGGTAGAGATGCTTCTACCAGGGAAGATTACTGCACAGGAAAGTTCAGGCGACACAGGCCTGATAAAATGGTGCTTCAGAGAGCAAAGTCTGAATCTATGCCGGCTGATTTTTCCCTGCCTCTAATGAATTACTGCAAAAGTCATTCTTCATGTAATAGGATGTAGACACAAATATAAACCATCAAAATCAATGCTGGACCAAGGGCGTAACAAAAGTATGCATTAATAAACCGAGTTCTCATTTTGTTAACTATTTTAATGAAGATGACCAGATATTTATTATGGTAAAAAGCAGTCCTAAATTTGGAATGCGGTGGAGTAATTCATTCCCTTCACTTCACCACATTTTAAATTTAGAAAATCAAATAACCTATTGAGGCTGCTACTTCATTTCCTTTCTTTTGAACTCTAATTTTCTATTATTCTTTGTATCCATAAACAATTGTATAATACCCCAAAGATGCAAAATCCTACCAAGGATTGCTCTGCATCCATATTTTGAGTGATTAAAAAGTAATAATAATCCCCTTACTATGTGTATGCTTATTTACAAGTCTGCCATGTATTTTATGTAGAATTTCTACAAATATTTCAGTGTTCTCACAAAACTGAGAAGGGCACAAATAACAACAACAGAAGAAACAATGATGTCCTAGTGATAAACAACCAACAGTCACTGGCAATCTAAAACAACTGCTGAAAAGACACAGGGAAATCCAATTGTTAATCACAACCTACCACAAGGGTAACTCAATACTTGGATGTCATCGATGGCAATGTAACCACTTCGTCCTCCTGAGACTTCAGCTTCAAATATTACCTGTCAGGAAGAAACAGAAGACATTTATAGCAATCATTTTTATGAAATGTCCACAGTTGAAGGGAAGGTGATAGGTGACACTTAGAGGTAAATTTGATTTTTGTGTCACTAAGAATTAAAATTTTATCTTATCTACAGGGTAACTTTGTACAAGTAAACAAAAATCTTGGATAATTTAATTACGAGAGTCAAACAGCTGAAACTTTTTTTTAAAGAATTACTATCAAGAACCGTTAGGTGTCACGAATAGACAATCTAAAGGCAGAATGAAGAATAATAGCAGTAAATCTGACATTTCCAAAAGTAAATCTTTTTCACTGACTATTCATCTCTGTTATTTAACTTCCCTTGTGCATGCTTGTTCCAAGCTCCCTGCCAACCACTGAAGATATCAAATGAATGAAATTTCCTGAGTTTTTAAACAGCTGAAATTTCAAGAATGGAGATGAACCGATAGGTTTTTGGGTTTTGTAGTTGCTGTCATTTTATTTTCTACGATTTATTTATTTTTGAGTTTTGGGGATTCATTTATTTTCGAGGTCAACTCGCTATGGAGTTGAGGCCTTGAAGTCCCTACGGAGCTTAGGTTGGAACTTGCAGCGATTCTCCAGCCTCAGCCTCCCAAGTGCTGAGATGGCAGGTGTGCGCCACCACACCAGCATAACTGGTATTCCGGGCAAAATGGATTTCACCCAGTGAAGAAGAGCAGGGCGGCTCGTGTGCTATCGTTTTCCAAGACAAAGCAGATTTAACATTCAGTGTTTCGGAGCTGTATTTAACTCTTTTATTCACATACAAATACAGTTTACTTTGAGAGTGTTCTGCAAAGTATTTTAGAAAATGTAATGAAAGTTGATCTTTCTTTCTTTTAGTACTGTTGGTTTTTTGAGACAGGGTCTCACTATGTATGTAGTTCAGACTGGCACCGAACTCACTACGTGGCCACTTTGTGGCCTTGAACTCATGACAATACTTTTGTCTCAGCCTCTGTAGTGCGGGGACTACAGGCATGCACAACCACGCCTGGCTTGAAAGTAGATCGTTAAAGTAAGAATATAATTAAATTGGTCTAATGAAAATATCTTCGACTTTAAAACAGAAGGCAGTCTTCAGAAAACCCAGATCAATAACATGCTAGCAGCAGTGGAAACACTGAGCTAGAAAAAAAAGATAAAAATATGACGAAGAATCAGACAAGACAGAACTTGGTGAAACATAAAAACACTCAATAATTTCTGTCTCTGCTTATTAGCTGCATATAGCTGTCAGGACTATAGCCTGGACAAGTAGTGATACAGAAAAAAAGATACAAATGTGAGCAAAATATACTAAGTATATTTCAGAAGGCCAATTTCATCTCCTTCTGATCCATGTGGAGGGAAGTACTTGGGAGATGACCAGATTGATGAATCTGGAAATGATGGATCTACATGGGGACAAATGCTAAGAAGACAGCATCGGGAAGGGAGTAAGCTATCCATCTAAACATCAAGGTGATGAGTGAGGAAGATGGTTTAGTATCTGCTTTCTAATCTCTGGACAATATAACCGACACCTACAGTTTGAAGGACTTTATTCACTTGAACCTGTTGGGTCACAGGTTCAATGGTTTCGGTGCTTGCGTGGTTGGCTGGCTCTGAGGCACAAGTGACACGGCAGAAGGGCCTGGTGGGGGAAAGTGCTCAAGCCATGGCAGTCGGGAAACAGAGAGAGAAGGGAAGCACCAGAAACAAGAACACCTGCTCGGGTGACTACGCAGGGACCCACCTCCTCTGATCACGTTCCTCCTCCAAGCATGAGATTGTACGAAGCATTTTCAATCTAAATTGCAACATTCCAGCCTAAGCCTCCATCTCAAGGGCTGTCAAAGTCCTAACTGTTCTAGCACTGCTGAAAAGTCCAAATCCAAAATCTTCTGTGAGCCCTTGGCACAGAAAGATAAATTAAGAGGGGAGCTCTCCTGGAAAGGGAAGAACAAGACTTAAGAGCAGAAATAAAGCTAACCAAGCATGATTAGAATAGATGCCTAAGGAAGCGAAAAAAGTATCAGGGGCTTTCAGATAGATTTACACTTCCATCAAACTAACTCGATATGGCCAGGTGAGTCACATATAACTGGACCCAGACTTCAGATATCCTTGTATTCAGTGGCATCTAGAGGAACATAAATTTTGGGAGGAGAGAGCTTCTCCGATATTATCCAAAGATCCCTACTTAGTATTCGTCTCCCACGAGAATATTTACCAGTTTTGAGATTGGGCTACAGTTCTGACTCAGATGGGACAGAGTGAAAATGGTGAAGTCTGTGATAGCAGCATGAAAATGCACCAAAAGCCTGCAAATTTGGGAGGTTGCATTTATTTTTTTAAAAATGATGTAGATCACAGTAAATAAGATCAAATGTAAGAGATAAGTCAAGAGAACACGAAATTTAAAAAGCATCAACTGGAACTGGCTATTAGTTCTCTAGTAACTTTTGCCAGGAGGGTTTTATTCTCCTACAGGAGTAGCAGGTAAAGTAAATGAGTGATAATAATAATAATGAATGCTTATTGAGCACCTACGATATTAAAGAGACTGTCTTAAGCTGGCATGCACAGTCAAGACTTGTGTCTGCATTGTTTATTTCTGGATACACGCACACATAATCCTCTGTACAACTGTATGAGGTGGGCATCGTTTTTAGCTTCATTTCAAAGAAAAGCTAAGTAATCAGCCCAAGACCAATCTGTGAACAGGTGTGAAAGCCAGGGTAAAGCAAGCCAACCTCTCTTCAGACCGATTTCCTCAAAGTCACTGCACAGTCTCTCAAGATAAAGACGTGGACTCAAGGAGAGTACTTCATTTCAATGTGTCGTGCATGGTCCTTCCATTTCATGTAAAGGTCTACAATTTTAAATAAATTGGAAAATTGGAAAACTGCAATGTCATTTCAAACAGGAGCTACGCGTTGGCTACCGGGCAGCATGACGAGCAGCGGCCCTTCCCATCCTCCTGCCTCACTCCTACAGCCACCCAAAGCTTATAAACAAAGCGGCACAGCCGGCTGGGACTTACGCTTCTCTTTCACCCATCAGCTCCGGTGAACTTTTTCCTGCGTTACTTTTTCTCAACTCCAAGTCTCCCCCTTGTAACTTTGCTTTTCCTGGAATAGCGTGAGGCTGAGAGGGAGCATGTTGCAGTGTGCAGAAACAAATGTCATGACAGAAGTGTGTGACGCTGTGAGCGCACACAATGCGTGTGCCAGATTGATCAACACCTCCCGTGGATGCATTTGGTAGGAACACAGTTGCCAGGTGGGAAAGAAAGCCAAAACTTTAAACAGTGCACAACTGAGACAACTATGGCATAGAGGCTACTGTCTTGGACGTGAGACGCCTGTATTAGACTCAAGCTCTCCTGTTTACAAATTTTTGAGTAAGCCACAAAGACAGCAAGATGAAGAGCCAAGTCCCACTTCAACAACTTGTGCGTTACACAGATTTCACTATATGGCACTGAGCACTAAATAGGAGCACACGGAAATAGTGTTACACAAACCCACAGGTAGGATTATTAATGATTGCACTGCAGGCTTTGAAAGGGAACAAGCCAAGGAAAATAAGTTTCATTTGCTGGAAAAGTGGTTAAGAATAGGCAACATTCAGAAAGAATGAAGAAAACCTTTTCTGAAAAATATTACCTTCTAATGAATAAACCACACAGTGGTGTAAAAGCTAGTCATTCCGAGTTATTTCCATCTTGTTGTTGTCAGCACTGATTACCTTATTTTAACTTCTTGGCTTAGCCTAGTATTACCTTCTAGAATTGTTTGACTTCCCTTGCTTCCTATAACTGATAAGTTTAAACAAGATTACTATACCCCAGAGAGAAAGTTCTTATTTGTTCATTTAATCTGAGGTTTATTCGGGACAATAAATTTAAGTCTTGATTTAAACGGAGGCAAAATGGTTTTTCCTTATTAAAGAAAAAATACAAGGTTCACTTTTTAGTGAGCTCATTTTCCCTGCTAAGTGTTGTCTTTGCCTCATTAACAAGAGCTAGAGGAAATTTCTTAGATCAGACTCCTTTACTGCTAAAGACGCAATCCACTTTCTTACTTCAACAGAACCCTCACCTTGTGAGGCTCTTCTGTCCAGTCAGGGGAAACAAATCTCCACAGCTTAATTACACAGAGCTTGCTTGGGCCGACGCTCAGATCACAGCTCATGCCTGGTGTCAAATGGTCCAGCAGGGCTCCCCAGAAGAGGAGTACAAGGGAAGCCACCCTGTGTCAACTGGAACCCGTCCGCATGGTGAATGGGCACAACTTTCTGTGCTGCTACACTCCGCCCCATTACCTGAAATACTGAAGGTGGCTGCTCTAATCAAAAATTCGCTACTCCAGCAACATTGCTGGATTATTAACTAAGGAAATGAAGTAAAGTTGAATTAAAGTGGAGGGGAGAAAAAGAGCACACAGAAGAAATGCAGAGAAGGAAGCGCTGCTGAACGTGAGGTCCGGGCAGAGCCCCGAGCTGTTGGGCTGCTCTCAAGGAAAAACCGAGGAATTAACCGAGCCTGCGTCCCTGCAACCCTACATCACAGCTCTGTGGTGAATGTCGGTATACATAAAACAACTGAACAATGTGTGAAAAAGAATACGTAACACAAAGCATTGTAGATACTGGAGAAATCTGATTTTAAAAGTACTTCATTTTGCTCTTTAGTTTTTCATTCATAATGTAAGGAGTCCAGACTCCAAAGTGGGATATGTGTGTGTGTGTGTGTGTGTGCGTGTGTGTGCATATATATATATATTTCATATACTTATCTGATAAGTTAACTTATATAAACACTTACACTTTAATTACTAACATCTGCCTCCGGGCTTTAGGGAGGATTAAATGAGAAAATGCACAGGAAACATTCAGCATCTCTCCCAGCACTCAGGACCTATTCTGTGTCGGCGGGCAGACCACAGAAGACAGGTGCTCCAAAGGTGAATGTATTCCCACTCC